CACCTTGCTGAAGTCATTGGAGTGAAGTCTTTGCACTGCTGAAGTTGATTTAAACATTCCCATTTGTTTCAGTGGGGTCAGGGATTATGCTCACTAAGGCAGCCCGTGGCTTTTTGGTCCCTCCCCACCATAGGAAGCGCTCCCATTCCCCTGCCCCTCTGCCCGGGGGCCAGATGGAGGCAGCATCCCTCTGCTTGGTGTTGTTCTGCATGTGGTCAGAGGCTCTGGTTTCTGGGAGCTGTTCTGTTTAATTTGCAAATTATTGAATCAGTTCAGAAGCGGCTGCCCAAGGTTCCTTGGCTCATGTTTTTTCAGGAATCGGATCAGACAATCCTTCTGGTATTAAATGGTCCATGAGTCCCTTGGCTGATTTATCCAAATGCTGCTGGAAATTGTTGCTTCCTCTCCACTCCTAGGAGTGAGACCAGAGAACAAAATCTGCGAGTGATAAAAATCTCTTTCCAGCATTATTTGCAGAGCCAGCTGTACTCTCCTACCAAGACAAGGTGGAAGTCCTTGGTGGGCTGGAAGGGCTCCATCTCCCATCCAGCTGCAGACAGCAGCACGAGAGGGACAGGCGGGCGCTGAGTGTGCCATGCCCTCCTGAAACAGCACCGCAGCAACGCCTGCACGAGTGCAGGATGTCCTGAACTGCTCCAACTACAGTTACTCGTGGTGCAGGGGAGTAATTAAAGCTAAAGCTGTTTGCAGTTAAATGTCACCTTGCTCTGAGCAGGGCTTAGGTTCCTTGCTTGTGCGCGCTGTGCAGTTGCGGTGCTCTATGCAAGCAGATGCAGGCTGGTAGTCTGAAAACACAAAATTTACTGCGAACAATTTACACCAGAAAACAGTGCTCTCTTTCTTTGCTGATTTTCAGGCTTCAGTGCACAAAAGCGATAGGTAACCAAGGCAAATTGGGTTACTGGGGAAAATGTTGCACCACTGGGGCTCTGCCCACAACTGCCCTGAGCTGTGGTGCACCTGCAGCACTGGGGCCAGAGCCGGGCAGCCCCACAGTGCGTGCCCTGCATGGGGCCAGTGCTGCCCATGGGCCCCATCTGGGTGAACCCAGGAGTGGCTGTGGGGACGTGGCAGTGCGGGCGGGGAGTCAGCCTCTGGGCAAACTTCAGATGTTGGGCACTGAATGTTAAATAAATGAGAGAGGGAGCAGCTGGCAAGGTGAGGCCCATCAAGGGCAAAAAAAACCGACGGCTCCAAAAATAGAGGCTGTTAATTTACAGAACATCTTTACTGTCCTTCTCAAGGATAAAGCATCCCGACAGCTGAACTTGTTGCAGATGGGTGTGCTGTGAGGGATTAACACCTCCGCGGGCCAGGTTTCATCAGCAGAATTAAGCGAAGGCATAAATGTAACCTGTGATGCTCCAAGCACTTAATTGACACAGCATAGCAAAAAGCAGCGCTTACTGCTCGCTGCTAAACGGCGTCACATAATATGTTGACATCTCCCCTTCCCACGCACAATTTGTATCAATGCTCTGTCAGGTTAGAGCCTGCCTGGTAAATCAGATGAACAAACAAAAAGGCAGAATGTGTGCAGAAGTCTTTTGTTAGATGTTAGTGAGAATACAGGAAGAAAGGTGCAGCTGAGAGCTCTGTACGAGGTGCTTGTGTCCTTGCTTGTGTCCACACGGCCATGCCATGCCTTGCAGGGGCTGCATTTTGTTCCCAGCCCAGCCCATGCCCGGAGAAACCCTGCGATGTTGCTGGAGGATCAGTGGGTGGAGAGCATCTCAGTGCCCAGCTGCCTGGTGGAGCTCGGATGGCACAGCCGGAGGTGGTGGACCAATGTGGTTGCTGGTGGGTGGAAGTGGCCTCTTTCCTTCCCACAGAGATCCCCAAAATTGATTTTTAAAGGCAAACAAACCTATCCATGATGTGATTATGTTGGAATTCTGGCGTTGTCCCAGGCTGGCACAGAGCAAGCCCCCAAACTGGGGCCATGTACGTGGTGCCATGATGGTGCTATGGGCTGTCATTAGCAGGGCAGCTGGTGTGGGACCTTTTGTCCATGCTCCCGATTTCCTGATTGTCAGGGAGCTCCTCACAGTGCAGCAGTGCTGCCTTGCTGCTGGGTGCGTTCAGCAGTGCAGCACAGTGAGGGCATCCTCCGCACCCAGCAGCACGTTTTGAGCAGCATTTCAGCACACCAGCATGGTCTGCCAGGTTCAGGACCTGAATTTGTTCATGCTTTTGGGATGTGACCAGAAGTGCTCTGAATATCAGAGAATGACTCCACCCATCCTGGCTGCTATGTGGGTTCCTGGTGCCCGCGCTCAGAACGGGGCAGTGCCGCAGAGCCGGCGGTGCGCTGGTTCCGCTCGCCTTTGGAAAACCCTGCGGCTGGCTTGGTAACTGCATTAAGGTATTTCCTTAATTAGATTTACTAAGTATGTAGGATTCTAATTCTTGGGTTTTTTTTTTTTTTTTTTTTTTTTTTGCCTTCTTTCTTAATTTGCCTAATGAGGAAAATGAAGAAATAACATTACCTAAGTGATGTCTGCGCGGCTTTCCGGGAAGCCTCTGCCCTGCCTGGTTTGCCCTGGCCCTGCAAGGCTCAGTGAGGGGCAGCCCGGCCTCCATCCACCTCTTCTCTCCCCCCCCCGTGCTGATTGTCCCACTGCAGCTGTGGGTGGGCTCGGGGCAGAGCTGGTGGCTGTGGGCTGTGCTGTGCTGTGAGGAGCTTGGGGCGGCACAGGGCTGTGCTGGATGCATGCCCAGGTCCCTATGCTGGTGGCACTGTGGGCTGTGCTGTGAGCTTCAGGTGAGCTCCCAGGGCTGCCATGCCCTGTGCAGATGGGGACACACCAACCTTCCCCCGAGCCATTCATCATCCCATGAGGGCAGACTGCTGGGAGTTAGGCTGGTGGCCCTTGATCCCGGCGCTGGCAGAGGACTGAATCACTGCGCTCGGTGCTGCAGGTCACCACAGTGTGGTGCTGGTGCTAGGGCTGATTGCTGGTGAATCTTCTGTGTGCTCACCCCGAAGTGAGGTGGCTCCAGCAGTTTGGCCCCAAAGAAGCAATCTACATGTGATAACAGAACACGTTGTTAAGTTGTGCGACTGATTTTATAATACTTAGAATGTGATGCTATAGCAACCTGTTACAAATCCCAGATCAAACTGAATTATTTGTATGCATCCCCATAACTTTCATCTTTGGAGGCCTGTGCCTTTGAGGCTGCTCTGCAGATTGGTGCAATCAGACAGAAAGAGGGTTGAAAGGAAGAGAGCAAAGATGGGTGCTTGTGTCCAGGTCCGTCTGCCTGCAGAGCTCCAGGAAGTCGTAGAGCAAAGAGTGCAAATTGCCATTTGGGCACCTTCTCAGCAGCAGAGCTGTGGTGATTCTGTGGGGAGTAGGAAGGGATGGAACTCAATGGTCAATGCGAGTGGCCAGCACGTGGCTTCTGCTGCTGCCCATCTGCAGTCTTATAGCATTTCCATTCATTTCTTGGGTGTTGGCCCTGGATCAAGGCTACAGATGGGGGCATGAGCCCTTCATTGCTCTGTGACCCACCGCTGGCTCCGTGGTCAATTTGAGTCCATAACTTCCCCCTTCCATAGTTATTAACTATCAGGGAACGATTGATCTGTGTCCTGTTGGCACTTTCCCTCTGTTCTCAGCACTGAGCAGCAGCCCCTTGGCTCTGCTCTCTGTGCCTGGCTGAGGGCTGAGGACCAGGCAGGGCAGGAGCCCCGCACTGCTCGGTCCTACGTGCTCAACTGGGTGCGTGAGTGCATACATGTTTGTGTCTCAACAGATGGAGTCAAAGTCCATCAGGACCAGGAGACGTCTGTTAGCAGAAGCAATTGTAAATACGAGCAGGAAGGCAGGAGGAGCAGCGGGCAGCCCTGTCAGGCCCTGGCTCAGTCTGTATTGCAGGGACACCCCTGCACAGCCGCCCTTTGCCTTGCACGGTAGCAGTGGGGTTCTGCTTTTGCCACAGCGGTCTCACAGAAAACCAGATCTGCAAGGGCGCTGTGGCAGCTCCTTGTGAAGCACCACGGGCACATTCTGCATTGGTGCAGCCGTTTCTCCTGCAGTGCAGCGCTGCCCGGTCCGCAGTGCCCAGCTGGCTGTTCTGCAGTGCAGGGTGCACAGCATTGCCCAGCTGGCACAGGGACGTGCTGAGGGATGCGCTGCAGGGACGTGCCATGGGGTTCACCCCTCTAGCTCTGGGCTGGGAGCAAAGTGAGGCTAATGCAGGGTGGGCTCTGGGCAGTTTGTAGAAAGAAGCTCTGCTGGTGTCCCGATGTTGGCTGCAGGTACCTACCACTGTTTGGGGGAGCCCTGGTGTGCACTGCTGCTCGTCTCCCCATGCACTGCCTCATGCTGTGCTGTGCCACCCCAGGCGGGCTGCCATGGGAGCAAACCTCGTTACTGCGTGATAAACAGTTGGACATTTTGGCCTCGTTTCTGCAAGACTAACCTGGCAGGAATGAGAGGAAACAAAATTAAATCTCAGATTTTCTGACTCCCGGAGTAGCATCTGGCAGTACTGCTGCATGTGACGATTTGATTGTCTGCCTGAGAAGGGATTTTTTTTTAAAAGGCACAGTGTGCTTTTATCAAATCATCAGTGGAGGGCTTTGAGTGCAGTTTCTCAAGGCTGAGGAGGGTGTGGGGTTGCATTTTTTGGCAGGCTCTTGGTACAGTTCTTTCTCCCCTGCTTTCCAGTGTCACATCCCCATGAGACCTCCGTGCCAGTGCCACTCTGCTGTGGGGATCCATGTGGTTGGCCCTTGCCAAAGCCCAGTGTGGTGGGGCCTGGGGGGGGGTTCACGCAGCTCCACCATGGGGAGATCTGTGGGGCCGCGGTGCTGAGACACAAGAACGGTTCAACCAAAAGAGGCCTGTCACCCGTGTTCCTTCTTTCCTTCCTCCCAGACTGGGCTGCAGGGGTTGCTGACGGCTCCTGTTCTGTTTTGCAGGAAGCAGGAGCTGCTGAGCAGCACAGATGTGACCCTCCCGGAGCGGCCACTGTCCCCTCCGCTCACTGCCCCCCCCACCATGAAGGTGAGTGCTGCACCGCAGGGCTGAGCACCCTGCGTCGGGGCCGTGGGCGCGCGGTCCAGGCTGGGTGCTGCTTTTGGAAACGGAGCCGGCGAGGAGCAGCACTTCCAACGCAGCGCCTGTAGCAGCTGGGGCCGTTCTGAGCGGAGCAGAGTAGGTGGTTTCTGGAGAGCAGCCGGCAGTTTGTTCAGACACCATCAGCTACAGCGTGGTGCGCGTGCCAGCGGGCCCCATTCTGCTGCTGCCGCGTTACGCAATGCCAAGCGGCAGTGCCAGGCGGGTGCAGAGCCCAGTGCTGCTGTCCTGATCGGCCCCAGCTCCACGTGCTGCCCCGGGGACCCACCTGCGTGCCTGCTGGCACCTGCTCTTTGGCCCCAGCATAAGCCTTCGAGGCACGCAGCTCCTCTGCTCTCATGGAGTAACCCAAGCAATTAGTGTGAGTGGAGCTTCCAGACAAAGGAAATGGCAGCTCTTCCCCCTGGGTGGCTGCAAAGCATTTGATATGTTGCCACCCGGGAAATTACTCATTAAACTGGCGAAGATGAGATCGAAGAGAAGCTTAGGAGACAGCTGAGAACTTGGTTAAATGGTTGTTAAGAGTGGGGGGAGGGGTGGGGAAGAATGGAGCTGGAGAAGTTTGTTAGTGAGGTTTCTCAAGTTTTGGCTCATTTTACTTATGTTGGTGGCCTGGGTGCACAAAGCAGGCGTGAGCTGGCAGAGCACACTGGTGGATGGCAGGGGTTGTGAGGGGCTGGGGCTGAGGAGGACGGGATAGGGTGACACGCGGAGCTGGCAGTGAGTCCTGCCCGGCACAGCCCGCTCACTCCTCCCCGCCTTGCAGCAGTCCCCAGCCAGGAGCTCACAGCTGAGCTGCACAGAGTGAGCAGGTTCATTCCTACATGCACTCTGTGCTTTCTGCTTAATTCTGGGCACAGGCTGCAGACAGCTTGCTGGAGGCACTGGCTTCCTGCAGCACAGCCCATTGCTAATTCAGCTGCGTGAGCAAACTCCTTCTAAGAGCATGCAAGCTCTGCCAGCAAAAATGTGTTTTCCTGGTGTAACTCAAATTCCTTGAAGGAGGCAAACTACAATGGCAAAAACCTTTTTTTGCTGGTGTAATTCCACAGTGAGGCTTGCTTCCCACCAGCCCTCAGTGGGAGGAATTTGTCTGGCACCTGTAATGGACATCACCGTGCAGGAACAGAGTGGCAGACCGAGCCAAAAGTGAGCAGAGCCGAGCGGCCACAGGGCAAAGCCATCCTTCTGCTCCTGGGCTCCCCTGCTGCTCTGCTGTGTCCGCCCTGGAAACTCACGGGGAGAGGAAGGGGCAGCGAGTGCAGGCAGGGACACGGCCCCAGGGGCAGACGTGGCCCCGCAGCCGCCTCTCCTCTGCCCGCGGCCGCACCAAGCACTTCCAGCCGGAAGACAGGTGGGCACGGCGTGGCACAGCCAGACCCGGGACCTGGCGTGGTGCAGGCTTTCTGATTGGCCTTGTGCAGGGAGCAGCCAGGCTGAAAGCAGGCTGGAAGGGCTGCGCTGATACCTGCCCATGGCAAGGACGGGTGACCCCGTCGTTGCGGCTGGGGCGAGGTGCTGTCTGAGTGCTGGTTGTGCCGGGCTCTGCTGCGCTGCCCGGATGCATGTGGGAGGTGGGGATGTGCTCGTTGGAACCGAGCCCCTCTCCTTCCCTCGCCTCCCGCCCCGTTCAGCTCCCCGTGCCACCTCTCGCGTCCGTGACGGGGAAAACCTCCGTGAGCCACGTGCGAACTCTCGCCCGCTTCCTGCCCAACCTGTTTGGGGCACTTCCCGCGGAGCCACCCTTTTAAATAACAAAGCAGCAGCACTGCCATGCCTCTGGCTGGAGAAACATTAACGAAGGGAGGTGTCGGTGGGGATGGTGGCCCGCCTGGCGCCGGGCCGCTCCGCGCTGCACTGCCGGTAGGACCCGCGGTGGCCGCAGCGGCTCCGGGGGCGAGGCTGAGAGCTGCGGGCGGTGCGGGGCTGAGATGGATTTCCTGCGGGGGCTGCTGGTGAGTGCCACGTGCGGAGCTGCGGGCAGCGGTTCGCTGTGGGCACTGCCGGGTGTGCGGTGCTCAGCTGCACACTCTTGGTGCGGTTTTCTTTCTGGGTGTCGTTTTCTTTGGAAACCTCCGATATGGGCGCTTTGTGGCTGTGCTGCTACTTCTGCTTCACGTCGGTCCTCATCTGCTCGCTATGTTGTACCCTCATGTGCTGTGGGCTCAGAAGCACCGGCTCAGCAGCACCAGCTCCGCCAATGGGGCTCTGGGGCAGACCTGACGCTGATGGAGAGTAGCAAATGCAGCACCCTGTGCTGGGATGCTGGAGGTGATGTTGTGATCTCTTTGCTGTCAGGAGAATGCTTTTAGCTCTGAGGTAGCGAGGACATGTGAGCTTAGGAAGAAAACAACAATGGTTCTATTTTTGGCTTGGATATTCTGCATTTCTAAGGTCACAGAATCGTAGGGGTTGGAAGGAACCTCCAGAGATCATCGAGTCCAACCCACCTGCCAAAGCAAGTTCCCTACACCAGGTCATTACTACAAGCTTTGGGACAGGTCTGTCCTGCCTGTGGAGGGACGGAATGGCTTTCTGTGCCAGTGGTGCCTTTGGTTGCTTTTGTAGCACAGCTGCAGTCACTGCTGCCAGGAGCAGCTGGGCTCAGTGACTCAGCTCAGTAAGAACAAACTGGTGGCTGAACCACTGCAGGTGACGCTGCTCCTGACTGAGCAGCACAAAGGTATAATTGTCCCAACTATATGTACCAAAATATTTGTGGCGTGGTAAAGCTTGGCTTCAAGTCTGCATAAATTCCTAGTGGCTACAGACTGCTCTTTGCTTTATTAAATGTGTGTACACGTGTTCTGCTGGAGCTCACTTGGAAAGGTGGATCGGGTTCTGCTCTGTTGTTTTGCCTGTCTGCCCTGGCTGCTGGCAGAGGGGTGACAGCTATTTTCATTGTCTCAGAGAGCATGCGTCTATTGCAGATGCCTGGAGATAAGCAGGAACCTGAAAGGAACTTAAAGTAAAGCAAAGCCTTTTCAGTTTGGACGCAGAGCTCTTCTGAACCTAGGTGCGTTTCTCCTGCTGCAGGTGCAGTGATAAAGAAGGGGCATAGTCTAAGGGCAGGACTGTGGCCAGGGCTGCAGGCTGTGCCTGGCCGTCGGGCAGCGCCTCTGCTGCATCTGTGGTGAGAAAACTCGTGTGAGGCCCCTTTGGTCTTGGAATGATTTTAATTTCTTCATCTCCCCCTCTGATTTTTCTTTCTTTTCTGTCTTTTGAGGAATTCAGTTGGTTCTAGGGCTCCCCAGAACATACTCTGGTGCTGTGCTCTTTGGCACGGTGCTGTGAGCCCCTGCCCTGTGTCCTGCGTTCCCCTTCTGCAACCACTGCTGGGAACCAGAGGTGCCGTCCTGCAGTGAACACGGATTAAGATCTGTGGGTGGGGGAGAGTAAGGGAGAGGAGAAAGAAGTCCTTCATCAAATCCCTGTCAAAGTTACATATTGGTTTACTAGGAGTGCCCTAGTATTGACATCTTGAGGATGCTGGATAATTTATTTGCTTGTATGTGGGAGCAGGAGGGGCCGTGCAGGGTAACTGTGCCACCGTTGTCCCAGTGGTGTCCTGCCGAAGGCCAGCATGCAGGTGCTGTGCATTCAGGAGCCACCGCTCACCACAGCTCATGGATCAGCACGCCTGGCCAGGCCCGGCCCCAGAGCAGAGATTTTGCTGCTGGTTTCTGTATGGAGCCCCGGGCAGCAGCCTGGGCTTTGTGCCCACCTGATCTCCAGCACCGTGCAGCACTGAGCACAGGGATGTGCTGCATCCACAGCGTGCAGTGCAGCTGCTTCCCAGCCCAGGCCTGCAGGATGGCTGAGCTGCTCTGCTCGGCATTGCAGCCCATCTCGGCAGCTCCCGGCACCCGGTTGGACAGCACAGTTCTCTTTTCTTTTTTCAGTCTGCAGAATTCTTCGAGATGTTGGAGAAGATGCAGGTGAGCTGCAGTGCGGTGCGGGGCGGCGTTGGCGTGAGATGTCCTGCAGGCGTCTGTGTGATGGCAGCTTCTTCATTGTTCAATCTGTTCACTTTGTTCCAAACAGGCACCAAAACTTGAAGATCAGAAAGCTGGAAGCCAAAAACATAAGGTTTGTTGGATTTTATTTCTTGTGTGGATCTTTCCAAGAGTTCCCTGTTATCTCCAGAAATCGGGGCTTTAATGTGTGTAGTCAAAGGCAGTTGCTTAAAGGACTAAAAGGGATTTAGGAGTTATCTAAAAGCAAGGCACTGATTGAATTGCAGAGATAAGAGAGTGGTGCATGTAAATCCCTAATCCAGCTTTGTGTCCAAACCGATGCATCTCGCTGTTGAGTGATGTGTGCTGGCTGGGTCTGTGGTGCTGTGCAGAAGGTGGCGTGGGTGCAGGATGGGCAGTGCCATGGGCAGAGCAGGGCAGAGCTGGGGCTGCACCCAGCAGCATCACTTAGTGTGTTAAATTGCATTTCGGGTTCAGGGACAGATGGAACCCGGGGAGGAAGCAGTAGTGTGCAGTTCTGTGATTCCCTTTGCAGGAGGACTACATCCCATACCCCAGCATCGATGAGGTAGGTGCTCTGAAACATGCTTCTGTGACCCCAGGGCAGTGCCTGTCCAGAAGTGTGTGGCAGTCTTGCTTCCAGCAGGAGCTGTGAGGCACGTTGCTCCTGCCCAGCTCTGCGCTGCCATACCTGCTCCTCACAGAGGAGTAGGGCACTGCAGAGGGGCGGGACCTGCCCTGCGGTGTGGGGCAGCCCATCATCCTGTGCTTCCCCAGATCCTGGAGAAGGGCAGCCCCTACCCGCTGGTCATTCTGCCCCAGTTTGGGGGGTACTGGATTGAGGACCCAGAGAACCTCGGCACACCCACCTCATCCGACAGCAGTGTCTGCGAGGAGGAGGAGGAGAACTTCAGCCCCAGCCCCTATGGGTACAAGCTGGAGTGCAAAGGAGAGGCCAGAGCATACAGGAAGCACTTCCTGGGGAAGGTGGGTGTGGAAAGGGCAAGGGGTTGGCTGAAATTTCTCCCAGCCAGGAGAAAAAATCAGATCCCACAGTTGTGAGTGGAAAGGGCGAGTGCTGCAGCCTTGCTCTGGGCAGGGGCAGCAGGGCTGCTGGCTCACAGTGCTGGATGCTGTGCCCGGAGCCTGCGAGGCTGGATGGGGGGAGTGTTGTCCTGCTGTGTGCTGAGCCCCACCACCCACCTGCTGCTTCTCTCTGCAGGACCACTTAAACTTTTACTGCACGGCCAGCAGCCTGGGAAACCTGATCCTGTCCATTAAGTGTGAGGAGATGGATGGCACTGAATATTTACGGATTATACTCAGGTACAGAGGAAAAATGTGCAGTGTTTAGCAAAATGTCTTCTCCTTGAAATACTCTCCATTTGTTTATCTGTGAATACAGCAGGAAGGACACAGCACACTGAGGGGCTCAGGGGGCTCGGGGTGGGGCAGAAGCCAGAGGCACTGTCCCTATACTGCTCTGTACTGTGGTGAACACAGAGCTTTGATCTGTTGCTGAAATCACATCTGGAACTCCTCATGATCCACTGTCATATCTGCTGCCATTTTTCCCCTAATCTGGCAAGGGTGCCTGAGCCGTTGCCTCAATTCTCTTCTAAACAACGAATACTTTAAGAGGTGCAGAGATGAGAATAACGATGGAGCACTTGTTAACTGACCAAGCCCAACAGAACACCGTGTTGCAGCACCTCCTGCAGTGTGCATGGCACAGAGCTGTGCTGCTGGCGGGCAGGGAGGCTGCAGTGCCTCGGGCTGCACGGGATCCTCCCCAGCTTCTTTTCATTCCTTTTTCCTTGTTAGGTCCAAAGTGAAGACGTTGCATGAAAGAATTCCTCTGGCAGGATTTAGCAAGCTGCCCAGCATCCCACAGATTGCGAAGGTAACCTGCATGGGGCTGCTCTGGGTGGGTTGCTGGATGAGCTCAGGGATGGGGAGGGGGAAGCTGCACCCAGGGACTGCCCCACTGCACCTCTGGTTAGCACCAGCTGGGCATGGGCATCGCAGCAGGACGGGATGCCATGGGAGCTCCTACAGCTCCGGGCTGGGTGCATCTCTCTGATAAGATGTGTGCAGCCATGCTGCCAGACTCCCCAGTCTGGGATGCCCACTGATGCTCACAGCACTTTTCCTTTGTCCCAGGCCTTCTGTGATGATGCCTCTGGACTGAAGTTTAATCCGGTTCTGTATCCCAAGGTGAGGAACTTACCTTGCATTCAGTAGAGATCAAGTTGGGATAATTCTGCCTTTTTCCCCATGATCCAGTAGCTTGGTTGTGGAGCATGGGAACTTGTGCAGAGCTAGGAGGATTCAGTACCTTTGAGAAAGATCTTCTCAGTGCTCTGTACAGATGCAGGGCACAGATACTGTTTTCCTTAGGGAATTATAGAATCGGGGTGGTGAGGCCCTGGCACAGGCTGCCCAGAGCTGTGGATGCACCATCCCTGGAGATGCCCAAGGCCAGGCCAGAAGGGGCCCTGTGCAGCCTGCTCTGGTGAGGGTCACCCAGCCTTCTGAGGGATTGGAACAAAGTGATCTATAAGGTCCCTTCCAACCCAACCATTCTGTAATACTATGGTGGTTCCATGAGATGCCCCTCTCCGGAGGGAAGGACACACAGGCTGTGAGGTATGAACCAGCCCCAGTCTGGGTGTGGTGCCTGCAGTTTACCTGGAAGCCCAGTAGGGCTGAGCCTGTCCTCGCTGTGATGGGGCTGGAACTCACTTGTTCCCCGCTCCAGGGTCACTGGAGCACTGCAAACTCTTGAGCTGCTGTAGAAACCCATTATGGGAAACTTTTACAGCACACTTCTCATCTTCAGCCGTTTGTTGTGTGTCAAACACGTAGCAGGCTCAGCAGTGCATTGCCAGGACTTTCAGTGCCCTTTGATGTAGCCCAACTGAGGCAGTTTCATTCACCCATTCTCATTACCATCTTACCACCATCCATCACTGGAAGCTCAAGAGCAGCCGCTGCCACCCAGGACAGTGACCCCAGGTCCCACTCCTCAGCTGCCACGGGCTCCCAGCTGTGCCTTGTTTCACTGCAGGCCTCCCAGATGATAGTGGCTTATGATGAGCATGAGGTCAACAACACTTTCAAGTTTGGTGTCATCTACCAGAAGTTCAGGCAGGTGAGTGAGCGCTGTGAGCATGGGGCATTGCTGTGCCCGGCTTTGCACTGCGGTTGGCCCTGCAGGTAAATGAGTGCCACGTGCAGCACGCGCTGCAGCTGGTGTTCTTACCAACAGCAAGTCTCTGGTGACTTGGATAAGGCCCTGGCTCATTAAAATACAATGTGACGGAAGAATAATCAATATTAAAATCAGCTGTAGGGAGAAATGGATGTGGAAGTGCACTGTAGCAGCCACAGTGCCTTAATTAGATGTGTGTTCAGACAGTGCAAAGTGGTGCATTGGTGGGAGCTGTGAGCCATGCAGACACGCCTGTGAGTGCTTCCATTAGCCTGGGGATGCTGGCTGCAGAGCATGGGCACAGCTGGGTTGTATAATTTGCCACAGATGATTCTGACAGGCACCCTCATTATCTTTACGCATTGCGTTTTGTTTTGGATTGAATAACTCATAGAAGACCATTATCAAGGTGTCATTGTTTTGAAATACACACGTGAAGGATTCAGGTAGGCTGCCCGTTCCTCTCCCAAGATGCGTCTATGTCTTTGCAGACTCAGGAGGAAGAGCTGTTCGGCAACAATGAGGAGAGTGCTGCCTTCAGGAACTTCCTAAATTTGCTGGGAGACACCATAACACTGCAGGACTTTAAAGGGTATGTAGAAAAGACTGATTGTACAAGTAAATTTAGCTAAAGACCATATAGTCTGTAAAGTATCTATCATGTGAGAGCAGAAGTCAGCTCATTCATGAGCAGCACAAATATAGCTCTGGCTCGTGGGTCACAGCTGGGGGAGTTTACAGAGGAGATGGAACTGCCGGCAGCACTTCGTCCCTGCAGCCCTGAGGCTGTGAGGCAGACTGCTGCAACTCGGCTGTAGAGGAAGGGCTGTGGGAGTGCGGCGGTGCCGTGGGGCTCTGCTCCATGCCTGGAGCTGTGACCGTGCTGCATGCCCTGGGCCTCAGGCTGCACTGCACTACATGGCGCACAGTTTGTTCTTTCCCGTTTGCTAGCAGGTAGATGAAGACAAATGAGATGGTTTGTTCTGTTGCCTCATCCCCTGATAGCCACCAGTGGGCTCTGGTGAGCTGTCAATAAGTATTTCTGCCTTTCTTCCTGACTCTTCCCTCATTTCCAGTTTCCGAGGAGGCCTGGATGTCAGCCACGGGCAGACGGGGGTTGAGTCTGTGTACACCGTGTTCCGGGACAGGGAGATCATGTTCCACGTGTCCACCAAGCTGCCTTTCACGGAAGGGGACACCCAGCAGGTGAGGGATGAGCCTGGAGCGCCCACGGGGCAGAGCCACCTGCCCAAACCAACCATGCTTTCCCCTTCCGCCCAGCTGCAGAGGAAGAGACACATTGGCAACGACATTGTGGCAATTATCTTTCAAGAAGAGAACACGCCATTCGTCCCAGACATGATTGCCTCCAATTTCTTACATGCCTACATTGTGGTGCAGGTGGAGAACCCCGATGCAGACACTGCATCCTACAAGGTAGGGGATCTCAGCTCATGTCACGGTTTGCTCTGTCTGTGCATAGCCACGTGCATGACAGGCTGCATCTCCAAACCACACATTTGCTCATGTGTGCTCGGGGTGCTCAGGCATCTATATAGCTGGAGAATGTATATATTGAGCATATGTGTGTACATGGACACATACATTTGTGTGTATACATACATATGTGTGCATATAAAGTGTGCCCATGTAGCAGTATGCTCATTTACAAGATATTTTTGATGCCACAGATGTTGCAATGAACCCAGAACAGCTCATGCTGCCTAAACACAGTGCAGGTAGCATCACCCCTCCATCAGAGTTTCTCACTCTGAAAGCATGCTGCTTAGGGCCATGAGGGAAAAAGGTTTGTGAGAAGTAGACGTGTGCAGTTATCCCATGGACTCAGGTGGGCTGCAGCCCGGGGCTGAGCTGGGGGCATCGCCCCATGGGGCTCCGTGCTGCTCACTGCCCCCAGTCCACCGCTGCCTGCCCACACAGGTCTCTGTCACGGCCCGGGAAGACGTCCCCTCCTTTGGCCCACCACTGCCGAGCCCGCCAGTGTTTCAGAAGGTGAGACAGGACTGAAAGTGCATGCCAAGTTGGGAATTGTGTGTGGGTGTGAGTCTGGGATGCCTCGGGGCACACCTGGAGGCAGAGCTGGGTGTGGGGTCTGTAGGGTCGTGGCTCAGTGCTACCAGCAGCAGGACAGTGCAGATGCCCAACCCTCCACTCTCACTCCTAGAGCCCCGAGTTCCGGGAGTTCCTGCTCACCAAGCTCATCAATGCCGAGAACGCCTGCTGCAAGTCAGACAAGTTTGCGAAGCTGGAGGTACGGCTCGCTGCCTTTCTGCCCCCCTACTGCCCCACACCATCCCCACACTGCCCTAGGACTGCTCCTCCTTGCTCTGAACTGGGTCAGCTCTGAGACAAGCTCAGGGACCAGCAGAGTGAGCTTCCTCATGTCCTCACACCCAAGGCTGTCCTGCTGAGCCTGGTGTCATTCCCCAGGACCGGACACGTGCTGCCCTGCTGGACAACCTTCATGATGAGCTCCACGGGCACACACAGACCATGCTGGGGATGGGGCCTGAGGAGGACAAGCTGGAGAACGGAGGACACGGGGGCTTCCTGGAGTCTTTCAAGGTAAACCTCAGTCCCTCCCCAGCAGGAAAGTTAACGTGTACTGAGGGCTGGAAGGTGTCTTTGTGGAAGGTGCAGAAGGGGTTCTGGGCATGAGTGGCCCTGAAGGCAGAGGAAGGTCCCCATGTTGCTGGCCTCATGCTGTGGGGGCGAGTGTAGGCTCAACTGCATCCTGTTGGGACACAAGATGCAGAAATTGAGGCACGATGCAGCTGTCCTACGTCGTACCACGATCTGAGGCGCTGATTGTTCTCTCTGCGCTGTGGCGCACGGAGAGCAGACGCGGCTTTTGGGCTTGCAGGGTGCGCTGGGCCGCGTGGTGCGCCCGGCAGGTGGAGCTGGCATCGTCCTGCCCCACCGCCTCGGGGCCGCGCTGCTGGGCTGTGTGCTGGCATACCTCCTGCGCTGTGCGCTCTGAGCACCGTGGGGCTGGAGCAGGGTGGGATGTTCTTCTGCTGGTTGCATCACACCGACAAGCTCTCGGCCCCTTCCTCCTGTTGGCTCTGTGGGCACTCAGCTGGCAGGGCATCGTAGGGGACGCGCCATGCACGGAGCGCTGTGCCGGGGCACTGGCAGTGCCAGGAGGAGATCCTCCTACCCGCACACTGCCAGAGCTGGCAGCGGAGCGACCTGCTGCTCCCACCCACAGACACCGTCAGTTTGTACAAGTTGCTGATCCCAATAAATCCAGTCTGATGGATGCTTGCTTGCAGCTCGTTACTCAAGGGGCAGGAGGGGACACTGTGGTCCCTGTGCGGTTCGGTGCTGCAGGGTGCAGTGCGGGTTGGTATTGAGGGGTTTTACACGGGGCTGAAGCTGGCAGCAGAGCGGTGCCTATCCATCGTGGATGCGGTGCTGGAAGCCTTCAAAAACACGGCCTTTGGAGGCTTGTTTCCTCTGATACCTCTGTGTCCTGAGCTGTGCTTAAATGGTCTGGAGGAGGACATAGCCGTGACCTGCTGGGTAGTGCAGCAGAAATTCAGGAGGCAATAGCTGCAAAGGGAAACTTTCCTGTAATTGGCACACCAGTATCACAGCCCAGTTTGGGCTCTGGTTGCTATGGTTATCACAGTAATTAAAATAAGTGTACAGATTTTTTTAACTTGCGCATTTCCCTGCTGCTCTTCATGGTGTGTGCCAGACTTCCAAAAGATCTTGTGGTCTTATTTGTGAGTGCCTGGGACAACAACTGAGGGAAGGCTTTAAAAATAGCTCGAGTCCTGTTCAAGCATCCAAAATGGGTGTTCAGATTCGCAAAAGGTCTCTGCCTCCCGCATGCACAGCTCTGGTTCCAACAGTTTGAATCAAAACATGTTAAAGTCATCGTCAGCCCCTACGTGTTCAGTTCCTGCTCAGAGATGGCACCTTTGCTTCTTTCTCTGCACCCCTGGACCGCCCTGCAGGGGCTGCACAGCCCTCTGCGCTCCCTCCCTGTATCCCACTGTCATCGGGATGGCCCCATGCTGCCAGAGCGGAGGGCACCGCAGCCCCTTCATTGTGCAGAGCCGGGGCGGTGCTAGAGCTCCCAGGGTCTTCTCCTTCCTAGGAAGCGGTGTGCACTGGAACTGGCACAAACGTCTCAGGGCAGCTGGCAGCAGGCTACGGGTTGCTGCGTGCTGCATGGGAACTGTCAGCCGTGCAGGGGCAGGAGGGGCAGAGGGGGCTCCTCGCAGAGCCTTCCTGCAAACCCAGAGAGTGGTGCTGGGGTGTGTGGTTGGATGCTGCCCTACCGCTGGGCTGCGCTGTTGCTCCTCGGGGGTTCTACAGGGAGGGGCCTGGGGCTCTGGGGCTTTGGGTGGCAGTGGTGCCGGGGAGTTGGTAACTGCTGTCTCCTGTCCCTCGTGGCCACAGAGAGCCATCCGCGTGCGCAGCCACTCCATGGAGACAATGGTGGGCAGCCAGAGGAAGCAGCATGGCGGTGGCATCCCGGGCAGCCTGAGCGGGGGCATCGCGCACAACAGCAGCGAGGTGACCAAGACCACCTTCTCGGTTAGTGCAGCCCCGTGGCCCTCTGTCCCACTGTCTGTGTGTGTGTCTGCTCCCTCCCATGCCGGCAGGGTGCTGTAGGAGTTTCTCAGATGGGGCTGTGCGCTCCTCGAGCTCGGGCTGTGTGGTTCTTTCAGCCCCCGGTCTCGGCAGCCGCGGCCAAGAACCAGTCGAGGAGTCCCATCAAGCGCCGCTCGGGGCTGTTCCCACGCCTGCACACGGGGTTGGAGAGCCAGGCAGACAGCAGGGCGCGATGGTAAGCGTGACATTCCCGGTGCTGAGGAGCCCTGCAGTGTGGCTGTGGTGCCAGAACCTCCCTGTTCTGCATTAGGGCTGTTTCTGCCACGTTCAAGGCTGGGGTGTCTCGGATCCCTTCACTCTGACTTAAAGATATAGTATTCAAAGAGCATCTGTTACTCTGAGTTTTGGCACATGGTGCTAGAAGTATAATTTGACCATTCGTTTTAAGTCTCCCCACACAGCCTTTTTGTGCCCTCAGTGACAGTATTTCTGGAGCACAGAAGACACCAGATGTTGGACATTCATCCCAGGAGATGAAATCTGAGACCTCATCCAACCCCAGCTCCCCTGAAATATGCCCCAACAAAGACAGGTGAGCAGCACAGAACCAAACTGCCGCAGTCCCTACAACCAACACCCAGAGAACCAGGGGCCGTCAAAAATAACATCTCCAGATTCTACTATGAATAAGTTGGATAAGTACTGTGAATAAGTTGAGGAAGTAAAATAGAGGTTCTGGTGATTCACGTGCACTACTCTACTCTTTTATCATCTGAAAATAGCTGTCTTTAGAAAAGAGCAGCAGCAAGGAGCCACGTTGGCAGGAGTTTCCAAACCCTGCAGGTTGGGGCAGGCGCATGGAGTGAGCTCCCTGTGCATGTTCCCACAGCGACCAGATCCTGTGTTCCTCCTTTGGAGGGGAATGCTCCCAGCCATGCCCCGACTCCATCCCATGGTGGCTACTCTGTGCCCAGCAGAGCTCATCCCACAGTGCTCAGCTCGGTGCTCGGTGCAGTGACCGCATGCTTTACTTAAGTGTCTCGTCACCCCCTAGGCCCTTTGTCAAGCTGAAGGAGAACGGCCGGTCCAACATCTCGCGCTCCTCCTCGAGCACCAGCAGCTTCAGCAGCACAGCGGGGGAGAGTGAGACACTGGAGGAGTACGACAGCGTGGTAGGAACCCAGTTCTGTGCTGCAGCTCTGGGGGGGGTCTGCTTCAAGTCTGGGGGCTCCTTGGGGGGGATGCCACAGCCTCGTGCCCCTGTATGATCCTGGTGGGTGCCGGTGTCATCCCAGCAGGGCGGAGGGAAGTGCGCCTGTCCACTTGGGTTGGCTCCTATGGGATTTATTGAACAACCCTGAAGGATGAAGGTTGCTGTTCCATGCTGAGCCATGCTGTGCCATGTTTTGCTGTTCTGTGCCATGCTGTGCTGCAGAGTGCAGCTCTGCTGGGCACGCGCAGAGCGCCGGGTAGCAGCTCGCTACAGGGAGTGGAGTTGTGTCCCACTCTATCCGTGCAGGGCAGCCAGCCATCCACAGCATCGCCCTTCAAGCAGGACGTGTTCATCTACAGCGCATCGCCCGGCAGTGATAGCCCGAGCGTGGGGGCCGCGGCCACCCCGGTCATCATGAGCCGGAGCCCCACAGGTGGGTTCTGGGGCAGCCTGGTGTGGGAGCAGCTATGGGAGAGGCAGTGAGGATGCAGGATGTGGGGCCCCGACTGTGAGCAACTCGCCCGGCTCACCCATACTGCAGCACGGAGCTCTAAACCAGCACAGGGGGGCTTCTAGGACTCTCCTGATGGACATTTGCAGTAGCCTTGGAAACTTGCTGTCTCCAAGGAATGAGTTGTGACTCAGGAGTTCTTTAGTAACCAAGCAGCTCTCCTTGAGCCTGGCTCTATTACCCCTCCTGCTAACCAACTCTGCACTAATTCCATCCATTGGAGCCAATTAGCAAAGTGAGGTACGAGTCAACGCGAGCCAGACGGGCAGAGCGGGCGCCCGCCCCTCACCGCGCAGCGCAGCAGTTTCCCCGTGCGCTGTGGTCCTGCTGGAAGGAGCCAGGATTCAAATGAAAGCACACATTAGGAACTCGGGAGCTCTTTGCAGAACAGCCGGAGAGCTACAAATCCACCAGTAACAGCTTGGTAATTGGGAGCAGCTTGATAATTGGGAGCAGCTCCGGAAAAGAGCTGGATGTGCAGCCTGGCTCTCTTTCCTTGGTATCAGCACCTCAAGTCCTTCTTGTTCTATTAGCAATTTTCAGAATGAACAAAACAGCGTTTTTAATGCTTAAAGTGTTTATTTTGCATTTTCCTGCCAAAAGCATTGAAATCCATACTTACATAGATCAGTCATTTGCTGCAGCCTTTTCAGTGGCATTTCCAGTAGAAACACTCTGAGATGTAATTAAGCCTCAATTTATTCCATCAAAAACACTTAATGTACAGATTTTGCCAAACGTTCAGTCAAGATAGACTAAATATTGGTAACGTTGGTGACAAAATATTAAATAAAGTTCCTGGCTGCCGCCTGATTCAGCAACCGGTTTGCTCGTGGGTTATTACTTCGCTTTGCTTTTCTCCACCCTCCAGCAGATATAAAGAACAGAAACTCCCCGAGGTCAAACCTGAAGTTCCGCTTCGATAAGCTCAGCCACGGCAGCTCCAGCACGGTACGCAGCGTGGGGACGCCCTGCAGGCACAGCGCGGGGCTGCGGGGCAGTGCTGCTGTGTGTCGCTGTGCCTTTGTCTGCAATCCAACCTGAATTCTGGTTTCTCGTTTAGAGTCACTAGCAGGAAAAAAGGAAGTCGAGAACTTTTCAGTGGTGAGTATTTGTAACACTGTTGTGTGACATGGTTCATCTCATCTCAGGTCCAATGCATATCCTTTAACGACAGCACGCAGCAACCAATTGCAGCGCTTATTATTAAATGCGTGGTCAGTACCAGATCTCTGGGCATCCTAAATGCTTTTGTAAGGTGAGGGCAGCACTGAGCGAGAAAGACGGTAGTGATCAATGACCAATGATGGTCGGTGCCCATCAGTGCCACGATGTAGTGCTGCATTTTCTTTCTCTGTTTCTTGAGTATCTCTGACACTTTTCTCTCTCTCTCTCTTTTTTTTTTTTTTTTTTTTTTTTTCCCCAGAGGATTTTTGTTTCAGCGAAGGGAAAACTTCACCTCCCCGTGGGAACGCACACACCTCACACTCCAGCACGGTGCCCTCCCCACTGCAGCCGACCCTGTGCCCGCCGGAGGACGTCACCTCCCTCTCGGCCCCAGCAGTCCTAGCCCTCGCCGTGCCCCCCTGCCTCCCCTACGGCCCCAGCAGGCTGCGGGCAGGGAGCTGGGGGGGCACCGGAGAGGTTTGAAGTGTCCCTCAGGTGCTTGCACCGTCCATGCACACACACACCTGGGAGCCTTTTTTCCCCTTGGCAGGCACGGGCAGCTCTGGTTCTCTGCTTTTGGAGCTGGTGCGGCAGTGCTGTGGGACCGGGGCTCACGCGCTGCCCCTGCTGACCCCACCCCCAGCTCTTGGGCTGCAAAATACCTGGGGCCGCGCAGCCCCGCGCTCCCCGGGTGCTGGCACGCGGTGCCATCTGCCTTCTCTGCGTGGCCCGAGTGCTTCTTCCCTGCCCAGAACTCCAGCGTGGGCCCGGGACAGACCGAAGCCAAAGCTGCGGTGTAACCGAATCCCAGACTGGTGCTCGGAGCACTGAGCCTGCGGGATCTGCCTCGTCCCGGGGCTGCCCCATCCGCCGGTGGCCGGGACGGCATTGGGCTGCTCCGCCCTTTGCAACATCAGCCCCCGCCTCTGAGCGCGCGTCCGTTCACTTCGAAAGAGGGTGGTTACGGCTGTGCAAGGTGACACCTCCCCATGCCGCTCTGCAGATGCTCCTGCCCGCACAGATATCCCTCGGCCCTTAGGGAGCTTTGCCTAAGGTTCGCTGTAAGTCTGCCTACTATGTTCAGGGTGGTCACGGATTTCCCCCATCCACTTTTTAAATGCTGCAGAGGTGCAGTGCTGCACCTCGCCTCAATCCGTCACACTTGCAAAAGTAACCGCCAGAATCGACGTTCTTCATTTCAAATGGAAGCCGTTTTTTGAGTTCATGATTCCTAACGACGCACAGCTGGCAGCGCCAAAGCCGCCCGCGCGCGGCTGCAGCCCCCGCCCACAAACGGCCCGGCGGTGCGCGCCGCGTGGCGCCGTCTGAAGGAAGGGCTGAGGGCCGGTGGGGCGCGTTAACGAAGGAATTAACGATCCGATTGACGAAGGAACCGCGTCGCGGAGAACGCGAGGACTCCCGACGACCGCTGAGCGCTCTCTCCCGCGGTCCGTGAGTTGCTTTTAAGTCGCGTTTAAACCTCGAGCTGCTCTTTGCCGGAGGCGGTTTCCCTCGCTTTGCTGCCCCCCGGGGGCGCCGAACCCTCGCCCTTCCGCGGAGTGCTGCGCTGCGGGGCTGCTGCGCGCCCAGGGCTCGGTGCGGCTTTCCCGAGGAGTTGTGTGGTTCTGTGCGTGTCGTTGTTTGCGCGCTTGTTGATCTCTGTGAGATCTTTCAGCAAATGCAGTGGCTGCTCTCGTCCGGGCTTTTGTTTTCGGGTGGTTGTTTTGTTTCTGTTATTACTTGAATCTGCGAGGTTCCTTCTGACCCGGAGCGCTTTGTCGGAGGGCTCTGGGAGGGCTGCGGCCCCGGGGCTGAAGCGATGCGTGGGGCGTCGCGGGCCGCGGCGTGGCTTCCCGCTCTGCCCGGGCTGACCGTGCGGGGCGCAGCCGTGCGCTGGCGGAGCGCGGAGGGTTTTGTGCTCCAGCGGTGGGTGAGGGCGTTCCTGCATATATATTGCAAAACGTTTTGTGCTTCTACGTGACACACGCACACATGTACACACCTGCATACAAATGGAAGTGCTTTTTTTTTTCCTGGGTAAAAAGGGACCGTCCCAAGCACAGACTCAGTTTCTTTACGGAGTTTTGGGCTCTGTGGCGACGGCAGACGCAGGGCCGGAATGTTTCCTTGGCACCGGCGGGCACGGTAACCCTGATGGAAGCCACGACCCCGGGTTTCCTCAGCTGCTGCAGGGGCAGTTGGTGCCGGCGGTGCCACGTGGCCCCGATCCCCGCAGGGCACATTGCACCTACACTGCAGGGCTGCGTGCGGCTGGGATGTGCTCAGCTCGGACCCTTAGAGTGTGATTCGTTGTTGGAAGGAATGTAGCACTGCGTATATCCTGCGAAGGAAAATGCTGAATTTGTATCATTAGAATGTGAAGAGAGTTTATAGAGTGAAAAAAAAATCTTGGAAAAACGTATCTGACAGAAGTTTATTTTTTATGTGAAGAGGCGGCGCTTCGTAGTTCCTGGTGGCCTATGTCTGTTGTAAATAATGTACATTTAATTTATTGCTATAGTAGCAGATTGTATTTGTTATGTATAAAACTAAAGGTTCACAAATGTATATTTTGTTGCTTAAATGTGTCTTTGCAAAATACACAATAAATAACATATTTTGTGTCCATATGTTGCACACATCTGTGCGAGCATTAGCCAAGCATGGAGAGGATGCTCTCTCCCTCCTAGGATGCTACAAAATGCTTTCATTTTTTGGGACAGTGTCTGTGTTTTTTCCCTACAGCTTTTGCTGAACGATGAACAGTGCTTTTGACCAGCATTTTTTTTCAGCATTTGGTGATGAGAGTGAGCCCATGGATGTGCCAATGTAAGAACAGGATAATGTTGTGGGATGGGAGTGGGTGGCAGAGGGGCCAAGGAAGAACAAAACCAAACCTACAAAGCTTGGGTTCTCTAAATCAATCTTTATTACAAAAATAATTCTTGCAGCTTCCCCCTTTGCCAGTAACTGGGAAGATTGCTTCATCCACACTGGCATTCAGCAACAGCTGTCACCTTCAGCCTGCCCCAGCCCCCTGCTCTCCTGCACTGAGGCATCCAGCAGTGCCGACGGCACCTGAAGCTCGTGGGGCCGTGGCTGCTCCTTGCTGGAGCACTGCGCCTAGTAAGGTTTGGGCTGGGAGGAGAGAGAAGGGAGTTTAGTGCTGAGCACGAGGGAAAGCACTGACAGTCGTGGGAGAAACAGCAATGTGAAGCGCACCCACCTTAGTTGTGCTCCTCGCTAGGGTGGGCAAAAAGGAAAACAGAAAAAAAGAAAGGCTCTGAATAAAAGGACAACAGGCAGGGTCTGCAGCCTCACTGCATCTCAGGGGCATCTTGGCACAGAATCGCTCTGCATGGTATAGCCCTCTCCCCTCCAACCCAGACACCCCCATCCCCCCACCTGAAGCTGTTCTCACCTTTGTGGAGGTGATGGAGTGCGGCCACAAGGCACCCAGTGAGGCCCAGCAGCAGCAGCAGCAGCAGCCAGGTGGTGGAGGTCGCTTCTGCAGATGAATCAAAAGGAGAAGGATGGGGACAAATGAGGGCTGGGAACAGGATGGTTTTTTTGTTCGTTTTACTCAAAGCGTCGCTGAGAACAGGGATGGGTGAGTGGGCCATTCTCCCTCCAGCCCTCCATGGGATCAGTGCCCAGACAGCACCAGCACAGAGCTCGGTACCTCTCACTGCCACGCTGACGCTCCTGCGGATGGGTGCCTGCAGGCTGGAGTGCTCCACGCGGCACGTGTAGGTGTGGCCGTCCTCATGCAGGGTCGCTGTCAGCAGGAAGAACCTGGACAAGCTGTAGGTGCCGTTGCTGCTGCGCCGGTGGCTGCTGGTGAGGACGTTGGGCACGGTGTCGGGGAGCCGCCTGGCGCCCCGTGGCTCACGGAGCCACTGCACGTGGATGTCCGCAGGGTAGTAGTTGCGGATGTCACAGACCAACTTCTGCTGCTCCCCTTCCACCAGGGATAGGGAGTTCACGTTGACGGTCACCGTGGGCTTTTCTGGTGAGCAAAGATTTATGGCACCATTGGCTTTCTCGTCTCGCCGGTTCTGTCTCCATCATTGAGCTGAACTGACCACAAGTCTGTGCACTGTGTCGGAGCGCCGTTACCTGTTATCTGCAGCAGGACCGCCTGCTCCAGCACGAGGGCTGCCGCCTGCACCGCGCAGATGTACGTCCCCTCGTCACCGAGCTCCACGCGCCGGAGCAGCAGGGATGCGTTACCGCGGGGCTCCTGCGGGAACATCTCAGCGCGGCCGCCGCCGGAGGTGGTGATGCGCCTCTCGGGCCGCCCCTTCTGCCGCAGCGCCCATCGCACGGCTACGGCCGCCCGCGGGTCGGCGTCGAAGGCGCAATCCAACACCGCGTCCTTCCCCAGCTCCGTACGGACCCGGGGCAGCCGCGCGCGGACCGCCAGCACCGCTGCGGATCGGGACGGCGGTGAGGCGGGCGGAGCGGGGCCGGCTGCTACCCGGACAGCCACGCCGCGCACGCCGGCTCTGCCCAACCCCGCGCCGGGTGCGAGCCCAGAGCTCGAGCTGCCACGCTGCGGAGGGTAACTGCTCGTATCGCTGTCCCTGAGCAGTTGCTAAGCCTCATTTGTGCCTCGCTATATACGACAGAGAGGGAGATGTGGTGATTCCCCTACATCTTAACATTGGATTTAATGAAGCAACACCTCCCCAAGCCGGAAGCGTTGCAGAGCTGTAGGGGGAACGGAGCGCTCTGCGGGACCTCAGCATGGGCTGCAGAGCGAGCGAGGGGGCTGAAAGCTCCCCCGGGTGGCAATCAAAGCCAGCTGAGTCCAATTAGCCTGGGGGGGAGGAGTACGGTGGGGCTGAAAAAGAGAGCTGGAAAGGGGTCTGCCTCACTCGGTGGTGTGGCTTGCTTGGATGTAGCTGTCTCAGAGAAGCCCCTGTGATGGGGTGAGTAATAAATGAAAATTTGTTTTTTCTTACGGGGGAGGGGCGATATGGGGTAAGGGGGAACGTGGGGGGTGTGAGTGCTCGCGCTGTGTTCTTGGCTCCAGGCAGTGCTGCTCGCTGTGCTGCCCTCTGCTGCAGTGCCTCGTGGCGCGTCCCCACTGTTGGACCGCGGAGCCCCGGTCTACCTGTTTTCAAGCACTACAGCCGCTTATCTGTGCTCAGCTACGGGCGGGCCCTGGCAGGGTGCGGTTCAGTAACGACAGTCTGCAGGCTGGACCCGGAGCCCCGTTTCTTGTCCGGGTGAGGCTGCAGCTCTCTGGCAGACACTAATTGCTTTTTGCTCCTTCTCTAGAGCCTTCTCCCTCAGCTCAGCAAGCAGCTCACGCTGTGGGTTGCGCTTCCAGTGCAAATACTGTGGAAGTGCTCTGCCTGCTGAAAAGCTTAGATCAGCCTTAACTTGTGTCTGTGTTAAAGCCTTGGTGGCTTCTGTATTTGCTGCTAGGGCTCTTAGAGATGATGGTAGAGAACTACATAAACAGAAAACAGTTATGCTTTTGAGAAGCTGCTTTGAAGTTATTAATTTCTGCAGAGTGTACAGCTCTCAACACAAGGGAAAGCATATGCTTTTCAGTAAATGCATTTTACCTTACAGTTGCTAAAACGTTATCTTGAGCTATCTGTAAACTTATGGGGCTGGTAAAAATAGTCTGAGGTCTGTAAGCCCGGAAGAGAAGTGTCTGGGTGGTGACATTAAGCAACAGCTAGTGGGATACAGAAAGCCAGGCTGGGAGTTCATAGCACCCCAGCGTAGCTGGAGAGGAACAGGTGGTTTCCCTCTACATAATCCCTGTGAAAACGACTCCAGCTTGAAGCTTGGGGTGCAGTTTGGGACACAGCTGAAAGAGCTCAGTGGTAGTTGCTTGCTAATTACCCTCACAGCCTGCAGGCCTGAAAGTTGTGCTCCAACCCCCCCCTTCCCCGTGCTTCGTTAGGAATGTAAGCATGTACAAAGTTCCCCAGAGGAGCATTACCTGACACGTGTGTCTGCTCTGCGATGCCCTGGTGAAGCTGTCCTGGAGTTTGGTGCTCTCTGTCCTCATGGCCTTGCACAAGGAAGGCTGTAGCTGTGTATTTCCCAGCTGTGTGCTTTATGGTGCAAGTGAACCAGGTGTCCAGGCTGTGGGCTCGAACCTCCCTCCCAGGCCAGAGGATCTGAGTGTTGGCTGTAAAGTAATAGCTGATCCTGCAGTCAAGCATGTTGATATCCTCATCTGTGTGCTGCAGAATATTCACCGAGGGCTCTGTGAACACATGCGTGGACCCGTTATCATCCTGGCTCACCTAAGGGCAGTGGAAGCAGCCCCCAGTCTGCACACAGCTCTCAGCGTGGTCCTGCCCTGCTCTGTCCCACCCTGGTGCACTCCAGCAGGAGTGATCTTAGCTGGGACGACATCCTGCCCAGCACTGCTGGATTTTGTCCTGGGGTGGGGTGCACAGCTGCCTTTGTTGTGTGGGAGGGGGTCGGTTCTCCCAGCACCCCAGGTTGGGCTCTCACAGCGCAGTGGTCTCATTGGATGCAGATCTTCAGCGGGAGGTGAAGCTGCTGTGCCAAGTAGGGAAATGCTGAATTTTCTGTAACCCCATCAGCTGAAGCACAGCAGGGCTGCCTGTCTGCTCACTTCTTGCCAGGAGCCAGGCTTGGTCCTCTGAGCACATAGCTCACCTTGTACAATGAACGAGGGCAGGTTGTCTGCAGGAAGGCTTTCTGTCTGAAGCCTTTGAGCGCCTTCTGCTCCAGCCACAGGCAGCAGCAGCCTGACGTTCAGCAGCACGATCTCTGTTTCGTTGGACAGGGGAATGGTTTTTCTCATTTCAAATACGCAGGGAAGTTGCAGGCTCCTCCTGAGCCCCGGCTCTGCAGAAGCAATGCTGTTCGGGGTCCTTGTGATTACTGAAAAGCAGAGATCGTGCACGCTCGAGCTACTTTTAAAATGTTGATAGTCGGTTTTGAAATCGCCCCATTGATGCGGGAGGTGCCGAGCGGCGGCGGAGCTCCGCGCTCCTTCCCACCGCCCGCGTCCCCTCCGCTTCCCAGCCGCTCCCGCAGCGCAGCCGCCGCACCCCTGGCCCCGTCCCGCACGTACCGGCGCTCAGAAGGCAGCCGGCCGCCAGCCACGCTGCGCAGCCCATCGCTCCCTGCCCGTCCTTTCGCTTTCGTTCCCTTTCGCTTTCTCTTTCCCCGGGCGCGCAGCGGGAGAGGCTGCCCGGCACCGCCAGGATGGGGCGGTCGCGACCGGGCCCGAAGGCTCGGACTGCACCGCACCGCGCCCAGCGGGACCCGCAGCGCCATTCGCTGCTGCGCGGCGTGCCCGGGGCGGCGAGCCGCTGCTCGGCGTCAGGGACGCGTTTGCTGGAAAAGGGAGCCCTCTGGGTTGTTTCCCTGCGCTTTTGGGTGCAGCAACAACAAAATACTACAATAACAACGAAACTCTAACTTTTATTGAACAGTAAAAAGACAACTCCAACCTCTACGTCCATCAAGTACAAACAACATAAATATTTCTGTCTTGTAACCGACACCAAACAAGTGAAACCAGGAAGGGCCTTCAGCTGCAGCCGGGTCCTGTCCGTACTGGAGAGCCGCCTGCTGGCACCAAGTGTGGCCGCATCGATCCCCGCAAGGTGCCCGGCGCTGGGGCTGCACTCCGCGGCTCTGAGGCCATCCGGCCCTGCAGCCCGGAGGCTGTGCTCCATTGCCCGGCCCTGCAGTGAGGAGCGCCGCCTCCCCGCAGGGCACAAAGCTGGGGCTGGGCAGGGTGAGAAGAATGCTTTCCCTAAGAGTTTGCAAGGAGAGGAATGAATCGTTTGTTCAAACCAGCCAGTGGCCGTCAAAATACACCTCGTGAATGAACTGGGACATCTTCATTTTGACTCTATGGGTGAAGAAAAGATATGCAGCAGTGTTAATCTAATGAGAACAAAGCAGAGCTGTGCACCTCCCCAGCTGCCTCTCGGAGCATAGCCGCACAGTGGGCAGCACACCTGGCTCTGAGAGCTGTGGGCATTTTACAGTCAGGGTGATGGCACAGGGCTGGATGGTGGGGGACTCGGGCTGCAGCACAGCAGAGCTGCAGGTTGTGAGCAGTTCTCACTGTGTGAGACATGAAATCTAGTTGTTATGCGGCGTGAAACTCTTGACAGTTCCTCGTGTATGGAGCAGTATCAGCCCAGGGTTGTTAAGTTAAACTTCGTGGTGTGAGGCAATGTCAAGATTTAAAGGTAAACAGTTAAGATGTACCTTTAAAGAGGAATATAAATATTTACAAACCTGACAGATGGGCGACTTTGAAGTTAAAAGCCGACTATTGCAGCCATAAAGTTACTCTGTGGGATCTGCTGTGTCACAGCCTGGCCCAGGTGTGAGCTCTGGAGCTCAGGGGCAAGCTGTGCACTCCTCAACTTGGTGCAAGGGTGAGCAGCTGAGGGAGCAGCATCTCTGGGTAGAGATCGCACTCCTCTCACACCCTCATCAGAAGGGCTGAATTCATTTTTTTTCTTCGCTGTCTTTCGTTGTTCCATAGTGCTTGTGGCACAGCAGATGGCACTGCCATCACCCTCCTCTGCTGCGTTTACCCAAAGAACGTGGACTTCACTTGGGAGAGAAAGAACTTTAGGGAGCCCTGGGGTTGCAGCTGTGCTGCCTCATCCCTGGAGGAGCCCCAGGCTGCAGATGGGGCCCTGACCCGGGGGGCTCCATGGTGGGAGCCCTTTGAGGTTCTTTTCAACCAAACTGTTGTATGGTTCTAGAAAAACACCTGGTAACAGATCTCACTGCCTCCTCCATTCTCACAGTTCAAACGAGGTGTGAAGGCTGTGGGATCAGACATTTGAATTCAGGTTCCATAGGATTTCGAGGGCAGCAATCGAGGTAAAGTGTTTGCTTTTGGAGGTACAGGCAGTCTCAGCTATAAGTGGTGTGTTTGAGAGTACTCAGCTGCTAAGTCTGCTCATCAGGTGAAGAGTAAAAGCAAATACTGCAAATCCTTTTCCCAGGAAGTCATTAACTCAGACTGACCTCCAGATTGGGGCTGTGTTTTCTGGGCAGGAAGCTCATTCAGTTTTAGCACAAGCGAGGACCTCATTCTGCTCAGCCTTGCATGTTTCAGGCATTCATCAGAACTTACTGCAGAAGTAGCTGCAATTACAGCACGCTGTGTACACAATTGGTACAGCTCTTACTCCATATAATTTTGATCTTAAGATGTTCAAATCGGGATCCTAATTTTCTATGTCTTAGACATGCACGATGAATGGCACTTGGAAGCCGTGCTACTCTTCATTTTCTTAAGAACTACAGAACATCCAATCAAACATGAATCTGAGCATAAGAGCAAAATAGTCTTTACAGCATTTATCTGCTAGAAGTGTATTACTAAATTATGTACTGAATTAAGGTGTTTTCTTTAGATATGGGACTGCTTATAGGCTTGGCCAACTTCCTTTAGTGCTAGTGGTGGCAATGGCGATGAGGAGATGGTTGGACTAGATGATCTTGTAGGTCGTTTCCAACCTTGTGATTCTCACCAGGCAGCAGTCCTTCATTTTCTGTGCTGCAGAATGCATTACTGCTTTGCTTTGTCTTCCATTTGCTCACCTCCTGCTGCCCCACGGTGTTACAGTGCAGCTCAATGGCCCTCCCACACACCTGCCTTTCAACTGTCCCGTGCTGCAACTTGATAGCAATTGTTAATGATGATGCCCTGCTTTCTTCAGAGTTCCTGTTTGTGTGCCTATGGCGGGACAGTGTTGTCACATCTGAGCCTTACTGCTCTGCGTCATCATGTAAACATCGGGCTGCTGGGGATGCTCGTTGCCTGCCTTGCAGAGCGCCGCGAGGCGATTCGGGCCTGACTCGGTCGCAAAGAGCTCCGTGCGCGCGCGGCGCTGCTCCGCCTGCAGGTTGGCGCTCCGGCCGCCAGGTGGCAGCAGCGGCACGCTGCTGAAGCGCAGCGCTCGGGTTGGGCGCGGGCGGCGGCGGCCCGCAGTGAGCGGCGCTCCGCGGTCGCCGGGGGAGGTTTTTTGCCGGCCGATGCACGCGGCCTTACGGCAAATAGGAAGGCTGATGGGAAGTGTCATGGAGCAGCTTAAAAACGCGTCTGATCTGCGCAGATGAATTAATGTAATTTGTCACAGCTCTCAAAGCTTGGGAGAACGAGCCGTGCAGAAGGGACTGCGGTTCATCAGCACCTCCCGATGCGTTTTTATAAGCAACACCGAGGTGGTAATTTGATGTCTCTCTTGTCGTGCATCAGTTGTTTTATATAAATAGTGCTTTTTGTAGGCATTGTGTTTTCTTGGTATGAGGCATCGGCCGCTCAGCAGAAAGTCCCTACAAAATTAGAAATAATGATTCAACGAGTAATTTCAGAGTCAATACAGGGAAAGAGACAAACTGGCTTTCATGTACTGCTGGGTAACACAACAGCACCACGATTGGACTGAGTTCAGAAATTTTTAGCTTTAATAATTAAAGTGTGGTTACTCCTACTGTAGCAGTGCATCTTTGCAGGTCCTGAGCAGCTCTACAGGAGCTGTGCAGTTACTGATGAGTTGCCATGGTGTTTGGTGCACGCTCAGAACAGGCAGTCGTTACACCACTCGTGTTACTTCTTTCTAGTTTGCCAGGTCTGGCTGTGTTACCAGGACCAGTGCTGCCATTTTTGCTGGCTCTGCTGCTCCAGAGCACCATTACAGTTGGCATTTGTGGAGAGGTGTTGTGCCAGTGTTTGGAAATGCTCACAGCACCCTCGGAGTATTATTCGCAAAGGGACACAGGCAGAACCAGGGCTGGGCTGCTCGTGCACTGCCCGCCCTCCGGCGGTGCCGTTCCTGCGGTTCCCAGGAAAGACCCCATTGCTGCCTCGTGCTTCAGAACCACCGCTGACAATTTATTCCAGCTGAATAATTTAAGAGGTTTTTCTGCTGTTCTTCAGCTGTTCATTTCCCGCATTAATTGTGATCCAAACCGATGTTTTCAAGGAACGCTCCCGCTGTGTCCCTGCTGTCACCATGGTGACCATGCTCCTGATGCGCATTCCTCCTCTGTGCTCCTGCGGATGGGAAAGTGAGGCGGTAATTCCTGCTCTCCTGACGCAGCAGGAGATGGGGCAGCATGTTTGCAAAAGCACTTTAATGACTTGAGCTACATTATCAAAATCGCCTTCAATCCCCAGGGGCAAAGCGAGCCGCTGGTGGCACTGCTGGCTCTTGTGCTGGGGCTGCAGCTCTGCTGGGATGCACCGCCTTCAGGTGTGGTGCGTGGAGCTGCTCCCAAGAGCGTTAAGTTTGTACCGGGAGGCAGGAGAAGCTGTTTGTGCGGAGCCTTCCCTGTAATCTCAATCTGCTGCTTGATGCTTGAGGGAACAGAGAGGTAGAGATATAAAGGAAAGGGGGAGGAATGGGGAGGGGAAATCAAAACTGCTCTCTGACAGACCCTGAAACTTGTGCTCTTCATCTTGGGATGTTTGGTGTTTGGCACTGCTTTGCCTGAGCCTGTGCTGGATACTGATGTATGAACTGTGGTGGCTTTCGTAACCTGCAGAAAGCACGGCTGTCTTTAGTCTGGTGGTGCAGCATTTCATTTCAGGTTGCCTGAAGGAAACCAACAGCCAACCCAAGCTGTCTGGAATCCTGAAAGCAATGTGTTCTCTGGGGGGGGCTGTGAAGGACAGCTGCCCACAGGCTCCAGCTCATGTGCTCTGCACTGGAGTGCTGTGCTTGCTGTGTGATGAGGAGCACAGCCTAGGCTGCTGCACGCCCGGGTTCCCTGAGCTCTGCTGGCAGGGTGGTGGCTGCGACCATTCAGTAGACTGGGGGAAGACTGTCAAATAATGGTGTCCCTCTGTGACAACAAGCAGAGGCCTGGCCAAGGTTCAGGTGCTGACTTGAGGCCTGGCTGTTCCCATCGTCTTAGCGCCAGTTCCACACTCTTTAATTTCTGTGATGTTTCTAGCTATATTTCTTAGGCCCAATACTAAAGTTTGGAAAGGAAAACCAGTATGTATCTCCTTCTATGCTCACGTGGTGAGTCCTGAGATAAGCTGTGCGGCTGTGTGAAGTGTCAGGCCGCACAACCAACCAACCATACTGCTGCCTTCTGCTCTGCACCACCGATTCCTCTCCCCTTTGATTTCCCTTGTGTTTTCCCCCTTGTGGCTCCTTCTGGACATCCC